ACAACTGCCATTGTCAAACCTGATGTTTTTATAAACTTTAAACTAAATTCAAAATCAGATTGTCGCCTTTAGAGCATGTTGGTGCAACACTGCTTTAAATCGGTCATTTTTGATGCCTCTATTTGACACACAAAAAGCATCTTGGGGTCTGATCCGAGAACAGGCTTCTATAGATAGACGTGCAGACTGGCTCCTGGGATCAGTCCGTCAAAGGCTGCAGTGGCTTCATGGCTGCCAGAGGAACAGCAGGTGCGTGCGGTGATACTGAGGATTTCAAAGCAAGGCTGCCTCCTGTCACCTCCTCCACTGCTTTTGTTTACGAAGAACAAACCATCATCACTTTGGAGTGTCCTTGAGAGAAGTTACTCCGCAGCCGAGTGGAGCGATGAGGCTTTTAATTATCGCCGAGACGTGATGATAGCTGATCATCCATCTCAAGTTACTCTGGCATGAAGAGTTAAGCAACATTAACATCAAAATGCTTCAGGATATTTCTGCTTATGGAAAGATGCAATGGCTGTCAACAGCTTAAGATGTAGTGAACAAGCATGTAATGTGCAAACTGGCTTCAACAGCAAATTTCAGAGAGCCTATTTGAAAGGATTTTAATCTTTAATCTTTCCACTACATCACGTATGGATATTCTACAGAAAAGTGGTTAAAATTTCAAACTACTAAAAATGAACTATGTAATAAAATCCACATAATTAGTTCCTGGCTCTTAAACAGTTTAGTTCAATCACTAGTTTACACATGCCTGAATATTTGGCCTCGATCACATTTTTAGATTTGACTTTTTATACAGAAAAGTGAAAAGGGAATAGGGCTGGGCGATATGGCTGAAAACTATATCACGATACAAGTCATTCATATCGGTCGATAACGATATATATTGAGTTTTTTTTTTTAACCTAAATAAATATATTTGTCGTGTGGGCTAACCAACCTTAGCAGCCTTGTTTACAGTCACGGGGCGATGAGGCTGGAGGAATATGTTCACACTGTGTCCCTCGTTGTTAGTCCTGGTTTAATCCTGGTTTTTTATTCCTGGTTTAGCTCCTGGTTTAGCTGTTTGAGGGTCTTGTGTCCCCGTGACGGCTCCGTGCGGCTCTCTGCCGCACATGCTTCCCGAGGAAAAAGTTAATCTCTTGCTTTTGCCGAATACATCGGGTCTGTCCACTGCCTCTGCCGCCGCACATGTTATTCCGCGCACGTATGTGCATAACCATTGACACGGCATTGAAACACGAGCTATAGATCCATGGACGCCACGCATGGTGCGGTTGTTGGTGTTTTTGCATTTCCCAGAAAGTTTGGCGGTTCCTGCTCGGCTGTTATTGGTCTAGAAGCCTCTGCCTACATCCCCCACAATGCCATGCGCTTATGAGTCGGCTTTACTTCCGATGTTTTCTTCCTGTTTTTCCTGACGGAGTTAAGTTAAACTATCGAACATTCTATCGACCCCATTCTCTATTGATATCGAACACATGTCTATCGCAATATATATCGTTATCGTTTTATCGCCCAGCCCTAAAAGGGAAGACCACACTCACTCAGCTTTCAGTCCAAAGAATTATATAGTGACTCACAGGTCTCTTCAGTAAAAGTATGCAAAAGATGAAATGTTTTCCAGGAAGACGAGAAAACATTGGCAATGATGGTTTTCTAGTAAATAGGAAGTAAATGTGAAAAACCAGTGTTGATGCAGTTATTGACATTCCAGGCATTAGGTGAGCTCTGATACAATTAGCATTCATGAGTCAAGTAATTAAAACATCAATGTGAGCGCGCTGTGTGTGCGGTTAAGACACTGCTGCCGTTTTTGTCGGTAAGTGGACCGTGTGGCCTGTGCGTTTAGAGAAGCAGTTATAGTGATACAAAGGCCTTCATTAGATCTCAAGCTGATGCTGGTTGAAATGCGTGGATCAGAAGATATAAAAGGTGATTTCATTTCCAGAATGTCTCCCAAAAGGAAACCGACTGGACACTACACACAGTTAAGTAAAGAATGGACGTTATTCAGCATAAGAAGAGGCAGCAGCGTGCTAAAAAAACTCCCAAACTGTCCTCCCACTGGGACCATTTAAAGAAGTGTGCATGAAACAGAAGTCAGAACGTCCACTGAATTTTCCCTCTCCTCATCTGCAGCACCTATAACAAGGATTTATACTCTATAATGCCAGGCACAAGCGCAATCTACTATAACTATCAGAGTGTGCGTCTTAGTCTCTGAAGCAAGAGTGAAATACAAGAACAATTCAGCCGATATGTTTGAATTAGTCCTTTACGCAAGTGATACACAAAGCCTGACTTCAGGATTTCATAAAACAACTCCATTCATTCAGTCCTTAATGAGATCATGATTGTGTTTGTGTGTCTGCACATTCACATTGGCCAGATTCATAGTCTGTTTTCCTGAAAATGTGTGTAACAATTACAGTAAATAAGAGGTTTGTTAAAATACTATTTCTGTTACAAATGTTCAGCACCTGTTCTGCTCCATCATCGATGCAAAGACATTCTCAGTCCTATGTTGTTGACGTACGTTCAATGGCAACTGCGTGGACTAACAACAGTCACTGAGGAGTGTGGGTCTGGAAGTCCAGTGCTGAATGTCCGGTAATGAATGTGTGTGTTATTTGTCTTGTTTTGTTTTTGTTTAGTTTTTTTTTTCTTTTTTGTGGTGGCGACAGTAGCTCAGTTGGTAGAGCATTGGCCTTTGAGCCTGAAGGTTGTGGGTTCGAGCCCACCGTAAGACCTACTTCATGACTCCCACTGATGACTGCTGTCGCTGTGTCCTTAGGCAAGACACTTAACCCCACTTTGCCTGAAGCCCCCTTAAAGATCTCAGCTCCTGTGGACTCACCACCTGCAGGAGGATCAGTGAGGGGCTGGTGCTCTGTGTACTGGGTGGCATCTCTGGCCACCCCCCCCGACCCAGAAATGGATTAAGGGGAAGAAAATGGATGGATGGATAGTTTTTTTGTTCTTTTTCTGATCTAAAATGCTTGTTTCGTCTTAATTAATAATATCTCATGATCTCAGAACAAGTAAAGTACTATATTGACTTATCCTTCAATAACTGATTTGACCACTTATTTTGGGTTTCCTCTGTGAAGAGTGGAGAGATTTTTGCTGTTTTCTATGCAAAACAATGACGTTTTGCAGTAGCATTGAAGGCATTAGGTAAATACTAGCCTAATTGATTGCGAGGATCACAATAATCCTCGCAATCAATAAAATGTCCATACAAATTGGTAATTGTGACAGGCCTAGTAAATATTGAATTGTATATAACTACATCATTTTCAAACCGAATTAATGTGTTGCTTACAACTTTGAGATAATGAAACCACTAACAACTATCCACATGATTACAGTCAGCAAGCTTTACATGAAATAGAAATAATATGTGTAATAAGCAAGAAAGCATTTGATGACATAATTGAAACTGAAAACAGAAAATCCGAGGCCATGGTTCTCGAATAGAGAACCTTGGAACTTCAACAAGGCCCATCAAGAGAATAAGCTCATAGTGCTTTAAATCAAACTCAAGACCAGCCCACCATTTCAATCTGCAAGAATAGATGAATTAGTGTAAGCTTCCTTTGCCGCAATAACACATGAAAGCTACAAAAAGTGGTGTGGGAAAACAAACTTAACTTTAACAAGCGTCACATGTTCTCTTCACACAAGCCTTGTGGGAAATGCATTGTTGAGACGGGTAGCGTGTTCAAAACTAGGGCAGGGAAACGTTGGTAACACCTCTATGCGACAAGCTGCAGTCAAAGTGGAATATGTTCAAGGTAAACAAACGCAAAGACAATTCTAAGCGGAAGTAAGGTGAACTTATTTGACCGCACAATGCACACGTGACTTTATGTCTACAGTCTTGACAGAAAAGAGCCTGGTGTGGATTTTCGCAAGAGCGTGACGTTCCTGTGCAGGTCTTGTACACACTGAAACATTCCACGGGACAAGTACACTCATCATACAGTACATGTCCTTAACCCCAATGACTTCAAATAGCTCAGGTTTCTCAACATGAGCAAGTGTGCATGGATTCCATAAACGCCTAACATGACACAAGGCTCCAAGACACAGCATGTATGTGTGTAGTGTCTGTCTGCACTCAAGCAATCAACAATGAAGGGAAAAGAACTATGCAACAGAGCCTCATATGGTTTTTCAAACTAAACAGAATTCTATGGTCTTCAATGAAGTAGAATAGAACGTTCAATAAAAGTAAACCTCAATATTTCAAAAACATTTATGGACATTGGTCATCAGCCCCTTATGGACAAATACCAATGTGTTTTTTGTTTTATTTCTTGTATTTGAACTGTCTGTGTTGGCGAATTCAACGGTTGTGTCCTTCAAGATAACTATGGTGTTCACTGTTGTGATTTAGAGCTGTATAATAATAAATTGAATTGAAGGTCTCATGTTAAATATTGCGATGAATAAAAGGTCCAAGAACAGTGTTGTCTACATCACACTTCAGAGGTTAAACTTGGGATTCCCAAACCAGTTTGGCTCCATCAATAGTTTTCACGTCTTTAGATGAGTTTTTTTCAGACAGAGGGATCTCAAAAGTGGCTCTTAGTAAAATGTTACTTTTACAAGACTGTGTTTTAACAAAGAAAGTTAGGTGCCCAAGCTTTAAATCAAGTGCTAATAAGTGCTTCTGCGAGACCGACCACATGGTCTTCCACAGCCTTCCTCCACTCCTTGACTTGAACAGCAGGTTAGTTATTACACACACACAGCTGGGTGTCGCAACACTCAGACCGTTGTGATAACGAGTTCTGCCGGTTGTAAAAGTCCATTCCTTCCGTCGCCGTGAGTAGGATCTTCATCTTCGAGGAATCTACCAATTCATCAAAGGCGCTCGCATTTTAAACAGCTTATAGACTTAGACACCTTTAATAAATACTTGTGTTACAAACTATTGAATTAAAACTTCAACATTTGCAACTTCCACGCACAGTTTGACCCACCTTCTCCTTATTGTCATGCTCCGCGGGGGGCGAGGAGGGGGATTTGACGCTGCCCACTGGCACGGCCTGAGTGACCGTGATGGTGCCTCCCGGGGCCGGGCTGCTCTTCTCCACAGTTTCCACTTTGATAAGTCTGTGCGTGGGCGACACATATTTGATATCCGGGGAACTCACAGTGTTCAAACTGGAGCCGAAGGAAATATTTCCACCGTGAGTGTACGGATCTTCGAAGTCCAGTTCCTTTTGTAGTTTGTAGGCAGTGAGGATGTCCGGCTGTGCGGGAAACGTGGCCCCCGCGGAGCTCCCAAAGCCGGGCACCGCGCTCCCTCCGGTGTGACAGCGGCGGTAGTCCGGTTTGGGAGGCGCCGGAGGGGGGGCTTTGGTAGTTTTGAATCCTAGGTGCTCCTTGAACCACTTGGCCATGCTGCCAGTGCATCGCTCACAAGTCAGTGAATGTAGTTTCGCTCCAGCTTTTCTGCCCCTCTCTTCTTCCGCTGGTCCGCTGGTCCGCTGGCCAAAGCGGCTGCGAGTGTCCAGCCTGCTCCCGTCTGGGGGCGAAGGAGCGCGCCTGAAACCGAGGCGCTGCAGACACTTTTGGAGCTCCTCCGCTGGCTCTGGCGCTCAAACACACACACGCTCACTGCTCTCAACTCCGCGTCTACTCTGCTGTGGAACATGGGAGGAACACGCCCCCTCAACCTGCTCTTCTACCTGAAAACATCCACTGCCACCTACTGGACTGTCCTATGGCCGAACCATAGGCCAAACCATCATATGCCTTAATGGCTACTGGCCATTAAGGCATATACATTCAAATATATCCATCAGGGATGATGGAAATAGAGCTTGTTCTTTTTGTACAGGATAACATTTACGATGCAGACAATTAGAAAAGAAAATCACAGTGAAAATGATCTATTTAGTTCTCCATTAGCTGTCACCAAATGGACAGCTCCTCATAGGGTCCAGGAAGACAACTGGAAGTCCAGTGAAGACCACTGCATCAATGTATTGTTTGTGTATGATATAAGCACACAATTGTATGGCCCCCAAAACAACGTATAGTCAATCTAGTCAAAAGGTATGTTGTGAATAATGACTGCAAAGCAGCAAGTTTTATAAAACAACGTGTCTTTAGTTTAGTGTATGTGTAGAGTGCTTATGTAGGTGATTGTCCTGAGGCAGAGCAGAGTTTACCCCAGCAGACCGCAGTCCACAGGGAAAGAAACTTTGAAAGGTCTGAACAAAACCCATTATTCGTGCCCTGAAATCCTGCCAATGTTTTACTCTGAGCAGCACAGGAGAAATCTGACCAGCTCAATTTTATTGCATTTTAAGGAACAATTCTACCTACAGCAAGACATTAATCTGGGTAACTAGATTTGGGACAGAAAATGTCTGGACTGAAGCATTGGGAATAAGATTGTATCATAGAGGTAGTGAAGCTTCCTGTAATACATTCTATTGTGGGTATCATCAGAGCAGTGTACAGTATTTAAGGCAACACAAATTGTACAACCACAGACAAACTGTGGGGGATTACATACTAACTCAGAAACAACACCTATCATCTAATAAAGTGTTGTTGTTTTTATATTTTCTCGTTTTATATACCAAACGAGTTAATGTTAAGATAATATAAGTAAGCCTTTATTTGTCCGCAGTGGAGACATTTTGAATTACAGTACACACTGCATACAAATACTCAATACAATACAATAATTGAAGAAAATATTTAAAGCACGAAGATCTCAGCAGTGCTCATCTAGCATCTTGATTGCTCAGTTCCCATTCTGCAAGCTCATAATGTATTTGCCAGCCCATAATGCTTCCTGGCATAACAGCAAGTCTGTCAACTTTAGTTTCAGTTTGTGCAGGGCCAGCACAAATTAATCAAGTTATAATGAGAAGCTGTTGTAAGGAGGGTTGAGGCAGAATGATAATCTGATTTACCAGGCTGTGCAGACCTGGAATCAAACTGTCCACGTTGTGATTTTGGTTTTGAGCAACACAGAACTCAACTTTTTGCCTCACCTTTCTCTAGTGAGAGAAAAAATGGCTATATGAGGAAAACCTAATGTTAATAATCATGATAATAGTAAATCATAATCATGGAATAAAGTGTCATCGATTTTAAATGTATACCCCTTATGTAATTATCACTTTTCATTTATTGGCATGACACTTGCAAACAAATTTACAGGAAGAAATTATGTGTCCTAATTTTGTCTGCAATTCCCAGTTCCATATCCTACGTGTCCAAACATATTGTTAAAAGGAGGACACTCTAGGTGACATTTTACCTTTTGAACCCCCGTCCTGTAAGTATGTCACAGACTTGAATATCGCCCAAGCCATGAAGGATATGAGGACTTTCTGCTTAGCAAACGTCTGGTAGCCGTCTGGTCAGAGAAGCCGGGAAAACTTCAATGGCTTAGGACTTTCAGACGACTAAAAAGAGCTTGTGCAAGTTTTCCCTCAAGGACATTTTACTGCTTGGGGAAAAGAGTTAAGCATAACGGTGGAAAAAAGTGATGCACTTATTTTAGTGCAATAGAAACAATGAATACTCAGCAGGTGACTACATGATTCAAAATGTCAACCGATGCTTTGAGATTACTTAATGCACATTCATCAGATCCAAGTTGAATCTGTACACACAAACAATCTTAGTTGCACTGTGGATAATTAGACACATTTTATCAATATTTAGTGTGGTGTCATCATTATCATCACATTTAATTGACCCTTTTTCTTCCTATTCTCACATTAAGCAGACTGTCATAGTGTCATGTTCAATCTTCTTATATTGTCTCACTATTCCAATATAGCCCAGCTCAGTCCTGGGCTGTTCCCTGGACACAGTGCAGCAGGTGGGGGACAGGAGGGTCCTGGACAAACTAACATCTACAGTGCCTTGCGAAAGTATTCGGCCCCCTTGAACCTTTCAAAATTTCGCCACATTTCAGGCTTCAAACATATAGATATACAAATTAAATTTTTGTCAAGAATCTACAACAAGTGGGACACAATCGTGAAGTGGAACAAAATTTATTGGATAATTTAAACTTTTTTAACAAATAAAAAACTGAAAAGTGGGGCGTGCAATATTATTCGGCCCCCTTGCGCTAATACTTTGTAGCGCCACCTTTTGCTGCAATTACAGCTGCAAATCGCTTGGGGTATGTCTCTATCAGTTTTGCACATTGAGAGACTGGAATTCTTGCCCATTCTTCCTTGCAAAACAGCTCAAGCTCAGTGAGGTTGGATGGAGAGCGTTTGTGAACAGCAGTCTTCAGCTCTTTCCACAGATTCTCGATTGGATTCAGGTCTGGACTTTGACTTGGCCATTCTAACACCTGGATACATCTATTTGTGAACCATTCCATTGTAGATTTGGCTTTATGTTTTGGATCATTGTCCTGTTGGAAGATAAATCTCCGTCCCACTCTCAGGTCTTTTGCAGACTCCAACAGGTTTTCTTCCAGACTGGTCCTGTATTTGGCTCCATCCATCTTCCCATCAATTTTAGCCATCTTCCCTGTCCCTGATGAAGAAAAGCAGGCCCAAACCATGATGCTGCCATCACCATGTTTGACAGTGGGGATGGTGTGTTCAGGGTGATGAGCTGTGTTGCTTTTACGCCAAACATATCGTTTTGAATTGTGGCCAAAAAGTTCGATTTTGGTTTCATCTGACCAGAGCACCTTCTTCCACATGTTTGGTGTGTCTCCCAGGTGGCTTGTGGCAAACTTTAAACGAGACTTTTTATGGATATCTTTGAGAAATGGCACTCTTCCATAAAGGCCAGATTTGTGCAGTGCACGACTGATTGTTGTCCTATGGACAGACTCTCCCACCTCAGCTGTAGTTATCTGCAGTTCATCCAGAGTGATCATGGGCCTCTTGTCTGCATCTCTGATCAGTCTTCTCCTTGTTTGAGATGAAAGTTTGGAGGGACGGCTGGGTCTTGGTAGATTTGCAGTGGTCTGATACTCCTTCCATTTCAATATAATTGCTTGCACAGTCCTCCTTGTGATGTTTAAAGCTTGGGAAATCTTTTTGTATCCAAATCCGGCTTTAAACTTCTCCACAACAGTATCTCGGACCTGCCTGGTGTGTTCCTTTGTCTTCATGGTTCTCTCTGTGCTTTAAACAGAACCCTAAGACTATCAAAGAGCAGGTGCATTTATAAGGAGACTTGATTACACACAGGTGCATTCTATTTATCATCATCAGTCATTTAGGACAACATTGGATCATTCAAAGATCCTCACTGAACTTCTGGAGTGAGTTTGCTGCACTGAAAGTAAAGGGGCCGAATAATATTGCATGCCCCACTTTTCAGTTTTTTATTTGTTAAAAAAGCTTAAATTATCCAATAAATTTTATTCCACTTCACGATTGTGTCCCACTTGTTGTTGATTGATGACAAAAGATTACAATTTTATATCTTTATGTTTGAAGCCTGAAATGTGGCGAAATGTTGAAAGGTTCAAGAAGGCCGAATACTTTCGCAAGGCACTGTATGCTGGACCATGACTGTCACCCCCTGCAGGAGGGTTCTGGAGAGCAGTTTCAGTGACAGACTTGTTCACACTTGCTGTGTGAAGGAGAGGTTCCGCAGGTCTTTCCTTCCTGCTGCTGTCAGACTGTACAAAAAACAATGCAGACTAATTAACACTGCCAACTTGATATCACGTGTCATGCGTCGGTGCAATATCCTTAACTAATATCAGAATGTGCAATAACCACATGTCACTGTCACTTTACTGAGTCATGCTGCTAATGTACAGATGTAAACATCCTGCTTCTAACACGTACAGATGCTAACATATGATAATGTTTTATTTTATTAGTATAGCTATGGTTCACTTGTCTTGCGCTGTGTGCTCCTCATTCCTACTGCTCTATAACTTGTGATGCAACACTGAAATTTCCCCGCTGTGGGACGAATAAAGGATCTCTTATTCCTAATCTATTCCGTAAACTGCAACCGGTGAAGGGTAAATTATCAATCTCTTCACACGGTTTTAATTCATATTTAATGTTTCTCAAAAACACTAAATATGTGTAGAGTGCTGCCAGTGTTGTGCCATGTGTCCTATTTGTAAAATGGTCGGTTTATTCATGCAGTATTTACACAGGAGCCATGATTAAAGCTGGGGTACCTAACTTTTTGTTCATTATACTACGTGTAGTCTAAAAGAAGCAAACAAATTGTATTGGAAAATGTGTTTTCTTCTGCAGACAAGTGGTAGAAAACCAGGCTCGTAAACCTGCATGCAGCTCCTGGCCAATCCAAATGCGGCTCTTTGCCTCCCATCAGGTTTGATTGGAAAAAAGCGAATGAATTGAGACATGTGTGCAGGCCGTCGATGCCATAATTAAACTGCCTGGAATGGTCAGAGAAAAGCCTCAGCTGTTATAATGTCCAATGCAGATTTTGTGTTTTTCTTTGTGAATATGAGGCAAATTTTTGCCCAATAAAAAACAGGTTGTAACTGAAGCCATCTTTATACAATGCTGTGTGATTTAGACAGTAGCTGAAGAGCACATCTGCTTTAATTTTCCGTGTGTTACATGAACCTTACCTTCTGTTCGCTGCGAGAGGAAACAAAGAACAGAAGCCCTGGACTCTTTGTTGGGGAAAAGGACTAGAAGTTTGGGCTCCTCTACAAACGGGACCAATTACAGGGACTGAAACGTAGGTATCATGGCCATTAATAGAAGTGCGAGGGCCAAGTGGTTGTGCAGATAATGCCACAGACAGATCTGGGATGAGGATTTCAGCGGCCAAATGAATCATTATAATTCTTGCTGAGAATTAACTCTATACAAGGGATTAATTTAAGAACTGAAATACACAAAAATACAAATAGTTTGCATATTTAAAATTATCAACAGACCCCCTGTAACTTGCACGTCCCTATTATTATTCATACTTTTTGTCAAACCCATAATAAAATGCAAAAGATGTGTTTTTGCTGGACGAAGCCCTAAAGCTTGTGGTGGCCTGTACATGTTGCGTCAATGTCCTATCTGAAAAAGCACAGAAAAGGCCAAAAATACACACATCTACATTCATTTTTATTTCAAGGATAAAAAAAAAAAGTGGTTTAATAGTCAGACACAATGCCTAATAATGATAAGAGTAACATCTGTTGATTACATATTTTTTCTTAATCCAACTTATTTTTTTATTTGGGAAATCTGGTCATTCTAATTTTAGAGGAATAGAAATGAGAAATGTTTACCATCCAAAGCCTTTATGCTGGTATAGATGAAAAAAGTAGCAAGATGAGCACCTGTCTCAAAGCTTCCAGGCCATTTTTAGAGGAACAATGAAAGGATGCTGCTCAGTGCTGTAGTCTTGACTGACATCTTTTCAGAGTAATGACAGCATATTTCACTCTCCCCTAATAAATGTTTGAACAATAGCATCTGCGCGCCTGCCTTCCTTGAATTTGTGTTCAATGAATGCATGTGGGCTGCTGGGAAAACAACTCCAGACAAACAGCGCTGATAGCTTTGCTTGATAATTAATTGCCAAGCTAATCCTGGAATTGCAGCACTTTAATTTAGAGCGTGTGCCTAATGGCTAAAGCAGGAGACATTTTTACAGTGCAAATGAGCCAACAGATGCCCCAGTGTTCACCCTAGCACACTGCACCATTATGTGTAGCCATGAGTATCTTTCAGTAGTATGTTAAAAAGGCCTCAGTGATTGCATTAATTCCTTATTGATCCGTGTGGCGTGATTCAATGTTATGGTTGGCTTGAAAGCATTGGTATATCAATAACGTGTTTGTCTTATAATTGTGTATTGATTCATCTAATTTATTTCAGCTCTCTTTAAAACTTTGAAAACTAAAGTAGTCGCCAAATTCCTCCAGGGTAACAGAGTCTTTAATGGTGGTTTAATTAAGAATGTTTCTTTTTAACAGTCATACGCTGACCATTGTAAAGTGAAAAATGGCTATAAACATCAACAGTATTCTTTTTGTATCAAGATAGTCCAGCAGGAATCGTAAGGTGTAGAGTATTTCAGCGACTTGCCTGGGCCAGGAATAGATGTGCAGGTGTGCAACATGCATATGGTTGTACTATGTCACATTGTTACATGGTATGGCTACGGTAAATGTGTTGTCTATGGCAGTTTTCTGTGTGACTGAAAACTGATTAAAGATGGATTTCAGATGCTAATATACCTATATACAGAAATAAGGAGTGACAACATGCAATTTGTATGTTGTCACTCCTTATTATTGTTCCATAGTATGAAATAGGGATGCACAATTTTCGGAAAAAAAATGCCTTTGACATGCATATTTTGATATTGTATGTGTAAAAGCATATTATACTGATGATTATATACAATTCCCACACATTTCAGAAAATGTTCCAACCAAAAGCACAACCATTTTCTTCTAGTAGAACTACAAATTATGCCCAACTACAAGATGAAAGACACATTGACAGATCTTTAAAATATACCAAAAAACAATATACATTTCCCCAAATTCAAGTCATTTTTAGCTCATCTTTAGTGATTGATTGCAATTAATTAGGCCGCTCTATTGTAAGTGAAAATTGTGCAGTAGCTAATATGCCTATATATAAAAATGAGTGACGACATACAAATTCCCCTTGATTATTATTGTTTCATAGTAGATAAGTAAGTAAGTAAGTAATTAATGATTATTTACAGTATATAGCGCATTTTACAGACCAAGGTCACCCAAAGCGCTTTACAATGTTCAGAGTTCAGATATTGTTCCAATCATTCCACACACGGTGATGACGGAAGCGAGTCGCCGAACACACACGCATCAGCCCCCAATCAACACCATCCATTCACTCTCTCATAGTATAAAATAGGGATGCACAATTTTAAAAAAGAAAAAAAAAACTCAAAAGTGCCTTTGACATGCAGATCTTGATATCCTACAAAGTATATAATATTGATGATTATGTACAATTCAAACACATTTCAGACAATGTTCCAATCAAAAACACAATCAGTTTTATCTAGTAGAACTACGTATGCCCAACGACAAGATGAAAGATACATTGACAGATCTCTAATATACTAAAATCTTTAGTCCTTTTTTGCAAAGCCCAATAATATTTACAGTCTCTGCAATCTGCCAACTGCGACCACGAAAGATTCAATTTGATTGCAATGAATTAAGCCGCTCTATAGGAAGGGAAAATAACCTAACCACCATGCAGCCCCCATTAACATTATCTCAGACCGAAAACTCCATGTGGCTACACTTTAACAATACACCAGCATAGTCAGCGCAAAACCTTGAAAAACAAAGCCAAAAGCTCCATCTCTCCAGGGTAACACAGTCCTGAATGTCTTTTTAGACCATACCAAAGCGTTCTTTTCACCAGCCAGGTGCATAATAGCTGCCATTAACAACGTTCTTAGACTTAGCAGACACAGGTAATTTGGTATTCAGGCACAAAACAATGCTTGTATTGGTAGAAAAAGCACAGATGTTGATGAATCCATGGCGAGATTACACGTGCCACTAAATATGAGCACTCACAGTACTTTGCTCACACCTTCTCAGACAAATTAGACACAGCTCACTGACACTCAATGGGCTTCTCCAGGGAAATTATCACAAGACAATACCATCCTCATCTTCGTTTTATGTTCTGAAAGGTACAACAGGCGAGAGAGGGAGGGAAATGGCTGTTGGCAAAAAAAGAGTGAAACGCAGCTAGACTGACAGTATTTGACGAGCGAGAAACTGAGGATGATGAGTAATTTCCTCGATGCACATTGCCCCAAGACTCTATAGAAGCGCTGATTTCAAAGGGATGATTACCTCCTGAAGATGACGGATGTGTGGCGGTAATGGTGGAGGCTGGATGTCCAGAGCGCTTAGTGGTTGATGACTCGCCAGGGCTGCCATAACCACAGCCTCATTACACTCGAAGCACGAGCCGCAGTCTTCATCCTGTGGCGGCGGAGACAGGTGAGCGAAAGAGATGTGCTCAATTAGGCCGCAATATCTTGGCCCATTTTCTACAGGCTAAAAATGTGCAGATTACAGAAGAGGGAATATAATGGTGAGGTCATATAGCCTCCCTCCATGACCTCACCTACAGAGTATTTTAATTATCTTATTTGAGAGAAAACTTTAAATGAAAGAAAATATTTTGGAATTGACTTGCCAGGCTATAAGAGTGCCTTCTGGCACGGTGGCTGAGTGGATAGCACTCTCGCCTCTCAGCAAGAAGGTCCTGGGTTCGAATCCCGGTCGGACCAGGGCCTTTCTGAGTGGAGTTTGCATGTTCTCCCCGTGTCTGCGTAGGTTTCCTCCGGGTACTCCGGTTTCCCCTACCACTAAAAATATGTCCAATAGTTCTGGCATGCGCCTCCTGTACTGGCGACCCCGCTCCCATCTCTGTGTGGAGTGAGAGACAAATGCCCAAAAATTAACAATTGTAAACCGCTTTGAGACTCAGATCTGCAGTGAAAAGGCGGTATATATAAATAAAAACTTACTTACTTACTTCTGGTCATGCCATAAGATGAGATAAAACTGTATTGATCTCACAATGGAGACCTTTACATGTTGTATTCTCTGCTAGCCTCAGCCACATGGATTCTTACCTATAGGGTGGCATTTTATATATGAGACACACAACATAAGAGCTTGTTTAGACGGGATTGTGGTCTTGTAAAACTGGCAATTTCATGTATGAATTAGGTTACAAAACTATATTTCACAGTTTAGATTTAACAATTTTATATATGGTGAAATAAATAGATATCAAAATGTATTTCATAACCTAACTTGATCTTTCAAAGATACAAACAAATAATAAGTTAAACATGTACATGTATTGCTGCATTAGATTAAGAAATGTATACATACATTGTAACTGTACATGTACAGTTATTGAAATGTATGCACAGTTTTTGGTGGTTTGCTTTTGGAGAAATGCAATCTTATGGCACAAAGACATACAAATGGGTCATTATTTCTTGAAAATGTGAGAAAAAAATTCTGCCAGCCCAAAGGCTGTTATTACTATGGATAATGTCAGCCGCGCAGCCACCAACCAGCTCACAAAGGTCTTCATTTGCATTTGATTTTGGAACCGAGCGACAGGAACCTTCAAACCCTGTTATCCGGAGGCAATGACCCGTTTGAAGCTGTTGACCCAAACATACAGAGCGCACTGTCATGGCTACTACACTCCAGTGATAAGATAACAGACAGTCTCAGCCACGGATCACAGCTCAAAGAAACCATTCAATTATATTTCATACATTACAACTGTCTGCTTCTTTTCTTTGCAAAAGAAATACATTTTTTTCTCAGGAAAATGGCAAATGATTATTTTGATTTATTTTTCTCTATTGGATAATCCCCCCAAAAACCACATAATTATCTACCATCAAATATGGATCATGTTGAGGATTTTTGGAATACTTAAATAAACAAGCTGACAGATGGCAATAATCAGAAAGATGAGCCTTTACTTACTTACAGTGGGGCAAAAAACTATTTAGTCAGCCACCGATTGTGCAAGTTACCCCACTTAAAATAATGACAGAGGTCTGTAATTTTCATCATAGGTACACTTCAACTGTGAGAGACAGAATGTGAAAAAAAATCCAGGAATTCACATTGTAGGATTTTTAAAGAATTTATTTGTAAATTATGGTGGAAAATAAGTATTTGGTCACTTCAAACAAGGAAGATCTCTGGCTCTCACAGACCTGTAACTTCTTCTTTAAGAAGCTCTTCTGTCCTCCACTCGTTACCTGTATTAATGGCACCTGTTTGAACTGGTTATCTGTATAAAAGACACCTGTCCACAGCCTCAAACAGTCAGACTCCAAACTCCACTATGGTCAAGACCAAAGAGCTGTCGAAGGTCATCAGGAAAAGAATTGTAGACCTGCACCAGACTGGGAAGAGTGAATCTACAATAGGCAAGCAGCTTTGTGTGAACAAATCAACTGTGGGAGCAATTATCAGAAAATGGAAGACATACAAGACCACTGATAATCTCCCTCGATCTGGGGCTCCACGCAAGATCTCATCCCGTGGGTCAAAATGATCATGAGAACGGTGATCAAAAATCCCAGAACCATACGGGGGGACCTGGTGAATGACCTGCAGAGAGCTGGGACCAAAGTAACAAAGGTTACCATCAGTAACACACTACGACGACATGGAATCAAATCCTGCAGTGCCAGACGTGTCCCCCTGCTGAAGCCAGTGCATGTCCAGGCCCGTCTAAGGTTTGCCAGAGAGCACATGGATGATACAGCAGAGGATTGGGAGAACGTCATGTGGTCAGATGAAACCAAAGTAGAACTGTTTGGTATAAACTCAACTCGTCGTGTTTAGAGGAAGAAGAATACTAAGTTGCATCCCAAGAACACCATACCTACTGTGAAGCATGGGGGTGGAAACGTCATGCTTTGGGGCTGTTTTTCTGCTAAGGGGACAGGACGACTGATCCGTGTTAAGGAAAGAATGAATGGGGCCATGTATCGTGAGATTTTGAGCCAAAACCTCCTTCCATCAGTGAGAGCTTTGAAGTTGAAACGTGGCTGGGTCTTCCAGCATGACAATGATCCCAAACACACCGCCCGGGCAACAAAGGAGTGGCTCCGTAAGAAGCATTTGAAAGTCCTGGAGTGGCCTAGCCAGTCTCCAGACCTCAACCCCATTGAAAATCTGTGGAGGGAGTTGAAAGTCCGTGTTGCTCGGCGACAGCCCCAAAGCATCACTGCTCTCGAGAAGATCTGCATGGAGGAATGGGCCAAAATACCAGCTACTGTGTGTGCAAACCTGGTAAAGACCTATAGTAATAGTTTGACCACTGTTATTGCCAACAAAGGTTTTATTACAAAGTATTGAGTTGAATTTTTGTTATTGACCAAATACTTATTTTCCACCATAATTTACAATTTAAAAATCCTACAATGTGAATTCCTGGATTTTTTTTCACATTCTGTCTCTCACAGTTGAAGTGTACCTATGATGAAAATTACAGACCTCTGTCATTATTTTAAGTGGGAGAACTTGCACTAATGGTGGCTGACTAAATACTTTTTTCCCCACTGTACAGTATATGGCCTTGCTATTTCAACACAATCCTCATGTGTTTTGTAGAAGAAACTACAATATAGAGGAGCCTTCCCCTGTTGTTCTCAAGCATTTAACTTAATGCTCTATCTGGGATATAGTAAGAGAGAAATATTTTCCCTTCTGTGCAACAGTATTGTTGCATATTTTACAGTGCCATATGGATAATTAAAGTCAGCCAGAGTTTTACCGTCTCAAGGGTCTTTTTCACACTGAAACTATATGCTTACAAATACTGTTATCTCTTCATAAAGGCTCTATGTAAACCAGCCGTTCCACTGATTAAATCACAAGCTCTTTGGGCTTGCTACTCACCAGACCAACATGCCGTATTTTCCCCTTTATGAGACCCAGATCTGTATTTTGGAGAGAAACAGCCACCTAGGTAATAAGGAACAGTGCTTTATAAGACGTATCTTTATGAGCTGTGAATGCCAGGAGAGCTCCAGGCAGCTGTCTTCGCTCTCATAATCCTCTTTTTCTGTAATTCTTGTCCTGTTAGGCAGATCACAGCAGCCTAAGAAACTATAGTGTTTGCAATAGTCTCGTCAAGGAGCTCTGTTAAGAATACTCTCTTGCAGAGGTACAGATCAAAGTTATATTTTAAACATAGTGTGACACATTAAAACTGGTTTCATGTATTCACAGACTATCCCATAACTCCACAGTGATCAGCAGGTATGTACCACTGATGCTTCTGAACAACAGGCATCAGATCTGCGTGTTCCGGTCGGTTTTCTCCCATCTTTTGAAAACATTGTTTGCTCTGCATTGTTTGGATCAACATAAAACCCTTTATTTTGAATTGAATTTGAATTTATTTCTTTATTTCAAAACCTGCACAGAAGACACATTTGACAAATGTTCAGACACATATGTTCAAGGTTTGAAAAAGGGTTGGATGAAGCACTATGCTTCTTTTAGCCCAACCCTCTCACCCACACAACACCCGTCAAAATAATCCAAAAATCACATTACAAAGTACTACTGTCAATACAACAAAAAATGTATATATATATATATATATATATATATATAGAAAAAAAACAACAAAAAACAACCCATGCGCATACACGCACATTCACACACACACACACACACACACACACACACACACAGGCCCGAACACTCTGACCCCACCCCTCTCTGCCATCACTCGCTCTGTGCTGAGGGCATCACTCTCTTTCCTCCTTGTATTTCTTTAATACATATTTTTTAAACAAAGCTTTAAATTGTTTTTTAAACAAAGCTTTTAAATTTAGATTTGTACTATTTTTAAGTTCATCCTTTAAGGTATTCCATAGAGAAACTCCTCGCACTGAGACACACATTGACTTTAAAGTGGTCCTAAATTTAGGCAAGTATACAGTTTTATTTCCTCTTAGTCTATGACTATGATGCGCGTCTCTGTCACAAAATAAATTCTGAACATTTGGAGGCAGAGAGTTTTTTGATGCCCTGAACATAATCTGAGCAGTTCTAAAGTGAATCAAATCTTGTCATTTAAATTCTTCCAACTCTATGAACAGTGGGTGAGTATGATGCTTGTAGTGAACATTAGAGACAATCCTTATGGCCTTTTTCTGCAGCGTGATCAGAGGCTGTAAGTGGGATTTGTAGCAGTTTCCCCACACTTCAACACAGTAATGTAAATATGACATGATGAAAGAACGATACAATAATAGAAGAGCATTGGTGTTGAGTAAATGACTTGCTATCTTCATCATTCCAACACATTTAGCAACTTTTGACCTGATGAAATGTATGTAGGGTTTCCAGGATATTTTATCATCTATTACAACTCCTAAATATGTATTTTGGTGAACTTTTTCCATTTCTGTATCGTCAATGACAATCTTGACAGGAATATTACATCTGCGATTGCTAAAAAGCATAATCTTGGTCTTTTTTATATTTAATGACAACTTGTTTGTATTAAACCAGTTCTTTAGTTTGTTCATTTCAACAGTTACAACGGCCAAGAGCTGCTCCAGATCATCACCTGCACATATGATATTTGTGTCATCGGCAAAGAGAATGAATTTCATTAAGTTTGATATTGTACATATATCATTTATGTACATTATGAATAAAGTGGGTCCAAGTATTGATCCTTGAGGTACTCCACACGTTATGTTCTTAAATCCAGATTTGTGTTGGTCAATCTGTACCAGCTGCCTTCTCTCACTTAAATAACTCTCTAACCATTGTTTAGGCTGTCCCCTTATGCCATAGCTCTCAAATTTGTGTATCAAAATATGGTGGTCAATTGTATCGAACGCTTTTTGAAGGTCAATGAAAATCCCTAAAACAAGTTTATTTTTCTCAATACCATTAGTAATTTCTTCAATTAAATCAATTAGTGCTAGTGAAGTGGATCTGTTTTGTCTAAATCCATATTGACTATTGGACAGTAAATTGTGGTTTTCAATAAAGCAGCGAAGTCTAGTGTCAAATACTTTTTCTAATATTTTCGAAAACTGTGGCAGAAGGGAAACAGGCCGATAGTTTGTAAAGTGGTGTTTGTCTCCAGATTTAAAAATTGGTATGACTTTTGCAAGTTTCATTTGTGAGGGAAATTCTCCCAGCTGAAAAGATAAGTTGCAGATATGTGTGAACGGTTTAGCAATTTCCTCTGCTACATTTCGGACAGTCCTCATGTCGAGATCATTAATATCACCAGATGTTTTATTTTTACAGTTCCTAATGACATTGAGGACTTCCTTCTCGTCTGTGGGGGCGATAAACATCGAATGTGAATTTGTTTCAATGAGTTCTCTTAGCTGATCAATTTTTCCTGCCAACTCAGGCCCTATATTAACAAAGAAATTATTAAAACCATTTGCAATCTTCTATTTGTCTCGAACAATCATGTCATTTTAAAAAAAAAACTTGGGATAACACAGACTGTTAGAGCCACGACCAATAACGCTATTCAATACATTCCAAATTCCTTTAATGTCATTTTTCTTTTTGATAAGTAAATCTATATAATATTCTTTTCTGCTGGTTCTCATTATGCTAGTTAATTTATTTTTATATGTTTTGTATTTTTGTTCAGTTTCTGTCGTTTGATACCTAAGAAATTGCCTATACAAGTAAGTTATGAGCTGGTATGGTGGCTGTGCGGCTGAAAATTAAACTTTCTATAGTGATAACAACTTCTGCTTGGGCTAGCTAAAGGATTTCAAAACAATACAACATTTTCAAGACTCTGGGGAAAAAAGCAACTGTGTGTCTCTCACCATACATGTTTGAGGATAATGACATATATATTTATAAAATTATGCAAAATGATTTTATGTTTACCATTCAACGATTAGAAACACCAAAATACAGAGTTTTGCACCCTCTTGGTAACTGCGATGAAAATGTAAAGTTTGAATCTGTGTCAAACAACTTTGGACTGAAATAAATTGTGTTTGAAATAGAGCACTGCACCTTTTTTGTGTTCCCAGTGGAAACATCCTGGAGACAGCTCCTCCCCTGAGAGGACAGCTTGCCACACATTCTGCCACAACAAACAGACATGGCTAAAAGTGAGTTTATTAGACTATAAATAGCCTTAAGGTAATCCACTAGCACAAGGTCACTCCTGATTGAAAATATGGACCATCATGACAGCATAATAAACATGTGACAACTTAACAGCCAGGACCATTACAATAACCTATTCTTTTCCCCTATCTTTGCCCTGCAGATGGATGCAAGTCATGTTCTATAAGACCAGTCTGAACACGAGGCAATAAAACCAAGCCCTGTGGGAGATTCACAATATAGTAATTGGAGTTAATAAACTGAGTCACAGGCAGCTGACCGGACCAATATGTTAAACTATAAAACATCCTGTAAGCATGTCCTTTCGTTTAAACAATCAATATATAAATGACTCCAGTCACCAAAGATCAAACCGTAAATTTAACACCCAATTCATACACTTAAATGTATTGATATTCAGCTTTTGAATTTCATTGCCTGGTAGTGATTGTATTAACGTAGCATGCTAATGTACCACTTGTGCCAGTAGGGTTCACCTTGGTGCCGGGTCTGACCAGGTGGTGACAGAGCAACAGTGGGGTCGTGCTCTCCACAGACAAGCCGCTAGGGCTGATGATCCACTGCTCTTCATCTGCATGCTGGGGACACAGATGAATGCAAACTCCAACCAGACTCCAACCAGACACTTTCCGCACGTACCCGCTTTCAGAGCAGAACAGAACTGGTCCAAGGGGGTAACAAAAGCTGATTGATGCGTTCAGGCACACAATTACCAAACAGAGGCATGCACAGACGTCAAGTGCCTTTCAATGACTTCATTATATACGTAACAATTGCAGTGGCTTTTTACCAAGCTTTGCTCAATCCGTGGAATAGGTAGAAATATGCAGTAGAAAAAATTATGTTATTACACTTAGAACGAGTGGATCTCCCCGAGGTTTCTCACTTTTCTCCCACTGGTTTTGAGAGTTTTTCCTTGCCGCCGATGCAGGAGGGTCTAGACTGATTAGTGGTCAAACAAGAAGAACTGTGCTGATGATCCAGGACACTCTAACATTCTACAACATTTATGGACATTTATCAACATTCATGGACATTGGTCTCTCCCTATGGACCAATACCTATGTGTTCTATATTTTTTGTGTCTTAACTGTTTGATTCTCTGATCTGTGTTGGCGATTTCAACGGTTCTGTAAAGTTTTCTGAGATAACTACTATTGTGGTTTAGGGCTATACAAGAATAAAGTTAATTGAATTGAATTGAATAGAACCAGGGAGGACAGATATGGGCGATGCAGAGTATGGAGCTCAACAAATGGTAAGCCAATCTAGCTAGTAAGAAAGGATTTATTTTAATTCATAAATATTTACCACACATTATTATCGAGTAAAAGCTTATTTGCATTGTTATCCAAAATGGAATATTCCAAAAGAAAATGTCCGCCATTGTTATACCATTTTGGTATAACAATGGCGGACATGTCTGATAAAAAGTGCATGGTCAGGAAAAGCTATTATTTACTAATGGTAAAATGATGTCATGCTAGCTTTTGAAGCCACTTAGCTCTGAAAGCGGTCAATAGAGGAGCTCTGGGATTAGTTCCACTCTACATCCATATCTCAATTTAAAACGCATGTCTCCATCACTCATGGATGTACTGTACATAGAGCTTCACTGGAGTATGGGTCAAAACATGTTGAAGAATCTCATTATACAGAGTGGGTGTCTATTAGGTTATTGATTTCACAAGGTTAGGAACATATAGAAAAAGTGTGTGGACATAGAGTTCACGATAATGGACTTGGATGTGACATTTAATTATGGTATTTTCTCTCAGTGATTACACTTTAATACTAAAAGAATATGCACAAAAAATGAGTCAGGTTGATACAAATTCTATACAAATGATAATCAGTTGAGTTACGGTAGTTGTGAAAGATAACAATTGTAGCAACATTAATAATGGTCAGGAACAGTACAATAAGCATGCTACGCCTGACATAAAAGAAATATCAAGACAATAAAATGACAGCATGTCCTTTTCTGTCCCAATCCTTATCCTTACAGGAGGATAAGTTGATTACATTATCTACAAGAGATATGACAGAGCAGTGACTTGTAAAGATCTTGTAACACATCTTTTTAGAGTCCTTTTACCACTGAGCCTCCCCGTGCTGCCCGTCCCGTCAAGGATGAGAGAAGAATACAAATGGCCGCAGTCCCATAAGTCTACACCCCCCCTCCCATACACCCCCTCCGTCTGCCTCGCTCCCTGACTGCTCGCCTCCAAGGACAGCCAAAGACGTTCTTAGGAGTGCGATAAGAGTGATCCCAGCCGACACAACATGGCAGTGGGCCTGGATGCTGCCGGCTTTTTCTGCTGCCGATTGAGACTCAGACATATTTGACTCAGAGATGCCGGGCGCCAAAACAGTCACATTTGTCCTTTTCAGTAAGGGAATTCAAAGGCAAAAAAATAATGGCGTGTGGAGAGCCATTTTAAAGTAGATGTAATGTTGCAAATACAAGAGAACTGAAATCAGAGATATCTGCTCAACAATTGACTTTTTTTAGTTAATAACTTTAGTAATACACATCTGACACATTTCCAAAAACATTGTATTTCCAAAAACAGGTGTGGTGTCATATCATCCATCCACCCATTTTCTTACACTATATCTGTTGCTGTGTACAGCCAGATTCTGTAAGCTTGGACTGGTTGCTTGGTTGTCAAGGTCCCTTCTTTGACCACCGGCCAGTCCTCTCTGCACATGGTTTGGGTTGAGTCCACGTCAGTGACCTGGCCTTTGATTGAATAATATTCATGGAGGTTTTGTGGGCCGCGCTGCATAAAGCTCCAGGCAACATAGCTCTTATATCATTCGGGCATACAAACTCCCCCACCACAGTAATATATTAAACATACATAATTATGTGTGCTTTTTACTCAATTATTTTCCCTTGTATACCACACTACACAAAAAAAGTTCCATTATTTTCCTGCCTCATCATTTGGCTAAGATTTTCATGTGCAAGCTTTAACTCTACACAAGTGGATAGGATGTAAGCTAAAACATTACTCTAGCGTGGATGAATCAAAACGGGCATTTTCCAACATCATGAATTCGTGTTTGTGGCTGTGCAGACTTTCAGACAGAAAATATATAGACTATTAGACCATGATTTCTGACGTTATTAAACTTCATAAGGACAATGCAGGCAGTGGTGATTAAAAAGCAGAATGGAATGTCACCACTAATAGATATGGAGCTGCTGGGAGGAAATGGAATGGGGAAGATGAATGCTGAAAAAAAGAAAACTCCATTTACCAGACTGGGATTGTGCCAGCACCTGGGTTTGTCAGAGCGTAGCCATGGTGAGTATGCTTTTGGACACGGCCCGCTGGAGAAATTGGAAAGTATGTGGCTGCTGCTGTTGGTGGCTCCCTCAATTCCAAGTGTAATTACCCAGATACACAATGAGAGGTAAGTGGAGCCGACATGGGGCCTGAAGCATCTTTGCTGTTAAGCTCTACGTGCTTCTAAAATAAGTTATCCTTTTTCAAAAGTTATTTACACTGTGCATATGCCGTTGGATAGTTATCCAGACTTTCCTTTTGAGTATTACAATGCAGTATTTTTGTATGTTTTCTTTCACTGAAAGTTTTAGTAAAATGGATTTGCATTGAGCACTTGACAAATTTGATAATTTGATTGAATTCTTATTTTTGGATGATAGGTAGGGATGTTATTTTCAAGGTCTACAAAGGGCTACAACAAATGATGAATATGACTGCAGTGCAGATTAATCTAGCGATTCCTTTAATTAATCAATTGTTGTTTAGAACATAATCTGTGAGTTTCATCTAAATGTGACGCAAAGTTGTAGTAAAGCCGCTGGAGGGAATTCTAATATTTTGCATATATTTGCAGCCAAAATTACATTTGCTTTCACTTTTTTATTTTGTTTTATAATTACTGCTTTTTACCAACTAAAAACACTGTCAGGATTAAAAACTGTGTCTAAAGCAGACTTGGAGATTCTTATCCATGCATGTGTCTCCAGTAGGTTAGACTACTATAATGGCCTGCTCCCAGGTCTCTCCAAACAGGCAAAAAAGCAGCAGCTCGAGTCCTGACTAGAACCAGGAAGTATGATCCCATTAGTCCAGTTCTCAGGTCTCTGCACTGGCTTCCTGTGGCTCAGAGAATAGACTTTAAAACAGCTCTGCTTCTGTACAAGTCTCTCCATGGCCTCGCACCAAAGTGCATGTTAGTGCCAAATGGTTCGCCCCACACTCTGAGGAGCACCGGGACTGGACTCCTGCTGGTGCCCAGGGTCAGAACTAAACATGGGCATTTCAGATTCATGTTGCTAAAATCTGGAACAATCTTTCTGAATATGTGAGACAGGCCTCTTCTCCGCCAATGTTTAGATCCAGGTTAAAAACAGTTAATTTTAGCTGTACATGTATCTTTCTTTTTAATGTACTGTGATATTTATGATTGTGTGACTGTCTCTATCTTGTTTTGTTCAGCACTTTGAGTTGCCTTGTGCATGAAGTGTGCAATACAAATAAACTTTCCTTGCTACGTCTTGTCTAAAAGTTTACATCAAAGCAGTTAAGAATTAATCAACTACTAAATAGTTGCTAATTATTGATAAACTATTAGTTACTTCTATTAGTTCCTTGAAGAATCGTTACAGCTTCATCTTTATTTCAAACAAGTCCAGAGTGGCTTGTCATGAGCCATCCATCTTACGTAATGCAGTGAGTAATGACACCGATTTACAGACACAGTAGAAGCTTCCCACCAATTGTGAGAAGACAATAATCCAATGTCAAGTGTAAAGTGAAATATATAAGAGAACCCTGTCAATGTTGGGAGGCATCTTTTATATGACGCACACCTCTGTGTCCTTGCTCCTCATTCGGGTTTCTTCCTCTGCTCTTCTCTCTAACGTAGAGAAGTGTAGTTGGTTTTTCTCATCACAACATGATATTGTTTTTACAAGATTGAATGTTTACATTTAAATATAGTTTCATATTTGCAAGTTTATCAGGAGAATGAGATGTGTTATTCCACACTCCCACTCACCACAATCTGTTGTTACAAAATGAAAATACATTATTCACATGCGTTTGGTCTTGCAGCAAGAATTCTCTCCAACAAAGAGACACAGTGTTCTATAAGATGCCCTATTTGTATCGTGCTATGAAGAACATTCTGGGTTTCTTTCCTGTGCACAGTACCTATAACAAAGTCATTTTAATATTAAATGTAATTGTTGCTTCTTGTGGTGTTATAGCCTGTGCTTTATCTGGATTTTCTGTTTTATGAGCATTAAACATTATTTTAATACTGAAGAAAATAATACCAATAATATAACTGTTGAAATGTAAGCTTATCAAAAACAGATTTCATCCTCACATTACAATTGGTGGTGGATGATTGCCTGGAATAATGTAGCATTTTCTTTCTTCCTGCTTCAGAACCATTCACTATTGTCGACCTTTATCTCGCAAATAACTTTTTTTATGAGGACATAGTGCACCTAAAAAAAATCTCATTTTCAAAATCACATGTCTGCTTTTTAAAGAATTTATTTGCAAATTATACTATTATTGATGTGTGTAAGGGAAGGAGTTAATGGGGCCATGTGACGTTTTCAATTTTTAGTGAATAACTCCTTCCTTTCAGCATGACAACAATCCTATCTCTCCACACTCTCCGAGCAAAGTGTTTCGTAAGAAGCATTTCAAGGTCCTGGAGTGGCCTCGCCAGTCTCCTGATCTCACCTCTATAGAAAATCATTGGAGTGAATAGTTAGTCTGGGTTGCCCAGCACCCAAAACATCACTGCTTTAGAAGAGATCTGCATTGAAGAATGGGCCGAAATACGAGCAACAAACAAAACGTACATAAGAAAAAGTATTACAACTTTTTATTGACTTCCTAAATACTTTTTTCCACCATAATTTGAATAGTTGAGGTTTGATGACAAGAACAAGAAAGTCTCATCTTTTTAAGTCAGAGGACTTGCACAATTGTGGCCGACTATATACTTTTTGCCCCCCTGTACATATTGTTATTGCTGTTCTGTAAAGTATATACTGTATATAACGCAGGAGATCTGGATTGCCACCATAAAGCATTGTATGATAGAAGCAGACATTTAATACCATTACTTTCACACAGATAAAATTGAATTTTCACAAAAACTCAGAGTAATGTAATTTGGGTGGTGATTTCCATTAACTCTACCCCACTCACTTGCTCTGTCTGGTCTTCTACACATATATTCAAAGTCTCGGATGTCTGTGTCAGCAAAATGCACCTTCATAATCAGTTTGGGCTGCGAGGTTGACGTTCCTGCAGCAGAGTAAATCCAAGAGTGGCTGTGCATGGCTCATGTATCTGAGCAGAGGTCTGACCGCCGAGAAAGAGAGGGGCAGCCCATTTCAATGAAGAAATATTTAACTTAATTTTTGGGCATTAAAAAGTTTAATGGGATAAATTACTATAACTTTCTTTCTTTAGGCTGTGAAAAGCAAGAATGAGGGTAAAGAATGCTTCCTGTCTAACTCTATTCGCTACCAGAGGGATTTGTTTAGCTTTTTTCCATATGTTTCAAATACTGCAAGACAGGAGCTTAATAATTACATGTTTGCTGCTGAAGTTCCTGATATTAGCATGGATGGATGTAAAAACAACTCCAAACAATAATTTTAATTGTTTATATTGTTCATCATAACATTCTCAATGGTCAGGTGCTCTCTTTAAAGGTGGTGGATGAATTCTTTGTGATCCTTATACAACTCCAAGGCACTACAACAATTATAAAGTATAAAGCCTTTATTCAATGTATTATTTATTTTTTATTGGTTTCTAACACCAATACAATACGTTTATCCAACCTGCAGTCATCGTACTTCAACTCTCATTTTGGAAAAATTACAGTATTTACAATCTCAATGTACATATTACATGAGTGTCTGTCAAAATAAATGCTGACAAGACGATTACTAAAAGTGACATCCCCTCTGAGTTATGGTAGGAAATGGAATCATATTACTTGGCAGTATGAATACATTTTCAAAGTCATTTTTTATTCCTCTAGAGGTCTCAAGTTTAATTGGCAATCTCAGAATTGGACTTCTGTAAAACTCCAATCTGCCTCACTGCAGATTGAGGGTATCAGCGTTTTAATCTATTTTAAAAGCCCATTAAATCAGTTGGCAGCAGAGGAAAATGCACTGGCCACCTTTCCCCTCACATGATATATTTAATTACAATTTCCACTCATTTCAGGAGGATTATCGAGCTCAAATTTCTCTAGGAGTTAAAGATGATCTAATATTAATATAACAACTAAAATATTGGAATTGAATGCATACAACG